CCTGCCATGACAAACATGTAAGGCCATCTGCTGACATTGTAGTTGATATATTTAAACGCTAGCAACGTAGCATCACAAAAATGTTTTTCTGACCGAAACTAGCTCTAGCTCCGTGTGTTAGATCGCTACGCCAGCTATAATGTAATTACGTTTCGCGACTGACCGGCAAATCACCCGGAGTATACTGTCAATAGGTATTTTGTGTGTGAATGCAGACATTCTCCTGCTATGAGATACATGTATGCAAGGCCATCTGCTGATATTAGAGTTGATATATGGAAACTCTAGCAACTTAGTTAGCACTGTGTCAATGGCTTAGCAGTCCAACACAGTTTACACATTTAAACAGTCTTGTTTGATAAATACACAAATAACAATGCAAACTTACAGGTTGTATACCCAGATCTTCCCCTGCTCCAAACGGTCCAAACAAGCTGTGCATATCCGGCCTCAAACTGGGCAATGTTTTGGAAGCTTTCGTCTGTGAAATGCCGGTTCTTCGAACCTCTGGAGGAGGAACACGACGCTGCTGGTGTGGCCATAGCTCTTCGGGATTGGTCCATTTCGTTCCGGGTACCGCATGACATCAGGCGGTACCCGGAACTAAATGGAAGACTCAAATGGGCAGTGACGTATCTCCAACGAGGCGTTTTGGGGAGGTATTTTCTGTGTTAGAGTTTTACTCGCTACAGGGTGTACTTTGAGGGTTTTGACTCTGCACACCGTTTACATGCATAAAAACCTTCATAACACACAATGGGACGGGTAATAACCGGAAAAGCATGACATGGGAGCTTTAAGAAGCCCAGAGACACAGTTTCGTGAAAATTGTTGTGTTTGCCCCCGCCGGTGGGGGCAATCGGGCTTAACGGGTTAAATGTATAATCTACGATAAAATGTAAAAAAATCGGGGATCGGGAATTCCTTTTTTTTTTATAAAATATTTTTATTATTTTATTTAACCTGTTACGCCCCGCCCCCCACGGTACCGGGCGGATAAACGCGTCATTTGCAGGAAACAACGTCTAAGGAATCTTAATATTTAATCAATTATGAATGTTTTATATCCATGAAACGGGAAGAAACTCAGCTAACTGATCTTTTGAATTTTTTTTCTCCAAAAAAAACCCCACAATGCTAACACTCAGCCTCTGAATTAGCCACGAGCGAAAACATGTAACCTAAAACTGCACCTAAACTCACTCATAACTCTCTTATTACTTATCCTAGATGCACAGCCAACCCATCAATTAGCATCTCCTGGAGACACAGAATCTGTGTAAACCCTCTCGGGAGTCGGGACAGAGAAAATGTCAGGAGTTTGGAAGTATTATAAAATTGAAAGCAAAGGCAGTGTAACAGCCAGATGCAATGTTTGCAAGGCGGAGGTTCCGCGTGGTGGAAAGAACAGAGCTACGTTCAACACGACCAATCTAATACGCCACCTGAGAAACAAACACCAACAACAACACGACGAGTACACAGCGGCCACTCAGGTAAAGGCACTGAAACAACCAACACTTTCAGAGACTTTTAAAAGGAAAGAGAAACTGCCCCAGAACAGTGAAAAGGCCAACAAAATAACAGCCAAGATAGCTCAATTCATCGCGTTGGATGACCAGCCGTTATCTGTGGTGGAGAACGTGAGGTTTAAGGGACAACTTGAATGCTTTTTCCTTTTTTTTCTCTTAATGCATTGCATAAAAATCGGATCGGGAAAAATCGGTATCGGCAGATTGTCAAAATCAAATGATCGGAATTGGATCGGGAGCAAAAAAAGGTGATCGGGACATCCCTAATACATGTTCTTTTTCAAGGACCTGGTTTAGCAAGAAGGCTAACTACCTGTAGCAACACAAGTGCTATATTTTGCTTCCCCTGCCTCCTTTTTCAAACGTCAGGATCAGACCAGTCTATGGACCAGACCCAGCATGGATCCACACAGATGTGAGCGACTTAAAGCACATATCAGAAAAAGAAAAAGCATGAACAAACTAGAGTCCACATGGATGATGCTATGCGACTAGACATGTTTAGGAAAGTAAACACAGCTGTCCAATGAGGGCTACAGGCAGGGGCGGACTGGGACTAAAATTCAGCCCTGGAAACTGACCCAGTCCGGCCACATGAAATGTCAAATGTTAGAAATCCGCTGTTTATTAGGCTGAAGAGGGAGGACACTCCTCGGATGTCTTAAACACATGGGACATCGTAAAACAGTAAATACACAAACATACAGTAGCCTACTATTTGTTATTAGTTATTAGAAATCAGCTGTTTATTAGGCTGCATTTATGCAGTTCAAGGGATAATTCTCACCCACCTCTTGCTCTTGCCCTACAGAGTTGAGCTGGTTCTTCCACCAGCTCAACTCTCTGTCCCTCATCATGAACGCAGGAGGCTGGCTGTATATCTGAACTCGCACCCTCATCATTCTCTTCATCATATTGCACTTGTTCTAAGCTGCTGCTGATAGTGCTTGTAGCAGCGCTGCTGCCAAAAAGGTCTGTCTATTTGCTACATTTATATGCTTCACCTGCGAGTGACTTCACCTTTTTTTCTCTTGCCTTCTCGGCCCCGCCTTTTTATTTTCGTTTTCTTTGATTTTAATCCATGTTTTTTCATTCTCCCTGTCTGCCGTCTAATCCCTTTTCTTCGTGTGGCCGGTCTGTTTTCTTCTTCGTGTGTGATTATTTGACAGATAAGAACCACACAACTGCATTAGCGGCCGCTGTCGCCCTCTGTCGGCCGTCAGCGCAATTTAAATGATGACGTTAAACAATTTATTTTTAAAGGGCTGGCCGGCCGTCAATGGCCCTTGACGACCGGCCGTTCTGTGGTTCTCCAGATTATACAGATGGCCAGTCCGCCCCTGGCTACAGGATAGGGATCAGCAGGGGCGTCGCCTGGACCTGGAAACATTCGGGGCTGAGCCCACAGTGGCGGTGTAGGTACCAGAATCTGTTCGGGGTTCGTTACGCTGCTTACCAATGACGTCACGCATTGGCTGTACAGCAACCCAATAGGACATTTTACATGGCCAAATTCCGCAAAGAATATTACAAAATAACAATAAACAGTACTGTAAACATTATGTAAATAACCCAATTTGTGTTCTGTGAAACTGAAAAGGATATTACAGTGTTTTTTGTTACTTTTCGTTGGCTGTTGACAGGAAGTTGTTGTTGCTATGGAAACAACATGACGGAGAAAAAAGTAATATCTTCTCCATATAAAGACGTAGAAAGTAAAGAATAACGTGGTGGCCTACCAGATCTGTTACAATGAAGGCTCGATAATCAGCTCACGACATATAGGTGTGTCGTGTGTGTACAGAGTTATAAAGGTTGGTATAAAATCCTTGTTAAATCGGAGAATTAATTCGGGTTACGCCAGAGGTGGCGATATATGCTCCAAGTGGAAGCGATTCGCCATTAAATAAAAGAAGAAGAAGAAGAATTACGCCATCTGGTGTCACAAACAAACGTGTGCCTGCATTAGCTTTGTTACGGCAATGGATTGTGGGAGATTCTCATAACATGTGAGGATCTCTCGAGGGTAAGGTGCCTGTATTATTTTGGTGGACAAAATGTATGTTTTTATTTTATAAGGACTATAACAGGGTTGCCAACTTTGGGTACCTGGCTGGAGTGAGATTTTGATATCATGGGTTTAATTCGGTTTAATTACACATATGCGCACGAAATGACTGCTATCGTGTCAGCAGCGGGACCTTAGCATATAGGATATATATACAATATATACAAATACACAATAATGGACACAGACTATAAAGGACACACAGTTTCATTCACTAATGAAAGTCAAACATGTTTGTTTCCACTGTTTTATTGTGTGCCTGTCGCGATAAGCAATTAATTGACTTATCGTACGATAAATAAAAATGCACACACACAAACAAATCTACAGACTTACTCCAAACTGCCAAATATATTAATTAACACACTCTCACTCTCATATACTCTTTGACTCTATTTTGGCCTAGTAGAACAATAAGCAGCAGACTTTTACTTTTTTATCATTTCTACTGGATTTTAGATCTGCGCATGCGCAATACGGGTCGGCAGTTGCGGCTCCAGAGTATTTTTGTTGGGTAATCTATGGTAGGGCTAACCCATACAGTGGTGGGGCTCAAGTCAGTATTTGCAATGTAATTACATACACGCTCCCCCCGACAGTGAAACGCCACGCGTGAGGTTTAGATCATTTCCCTGTCTCAATCCAAATTGAACTGTATGAAATAAAAAGGCACATTTGTCTTGCAGTAAATAAAAAGGGCGACCTGGAGCCAATCCTGCAATTTCCCCACAGGTGAAAGGGTTGACATGCTGAAGACCCAACCCCTGCAGGGGGGTCTGGGGGGATTCTCCCCCAGGAGATTTTTTGAAATACTAACATAAAATACACATTCTGGTACTCTCTTGAGAAGAAAAATAAATAAATCTATTACTACACGATATATTTAAACAAATTAATTAATTTTAGTTTTTTGTGACTTTGTTCTGAAAGCTGAACCTGCTGCTCCTCACAGAGAGAAGAGGGAAGAGGCTGTGTGAATTACTTTACATTGTGGATAAGGGTGGATAGCCCCCATTGTTCTGTGTGTCAAAATGAAAGACAGCCCACACACCTATCAATCATCAAACCGTGGGGTCTTATTTCATTACGTGTTGATTTCTATCAACACGTAATGTTGTATCGATGTATAGAGATGTACTACCGCAAAAGTATTCTCCGTCGGGACTTCCTGCAACAACACCACGCCGTTATCGTGATTCTGATTGGCCAGAAGACATTATCAAAGATGTTTTATTGAGAAGATGATCACTACGTGACAAAAGTTTTCAAAACCGTTTCTAGTCTTCGGTATTCTTGTTTTTGGCGTGAGAATAGTTTGGGCAGCGTGAGAGCGTGAGATTGAGAGTGAAAGCGTGTGTCACACGCCAGATGCGTGAGAGTTGGCAACCCTGCTATAACGTTTTGTTGTGTTTGTTTAGTTTAATGTTAATCGTTTAATGCTCACACAGCAGCATGTTTTTTGTGTGTTTGGCTATTGGTTTTATATGATTTATCAACGTGATCATCAATAGCTAATCTGAGCTAATAAGCTAATGGGAGAGCTGCTCCACACGATGCCTCGACTACAAAGTCTTCCATGTTTCTACGCTTCTTCCTCTGTGTCACAGTTTCGGGAATATCAAGATCATTGCACAGGGCCTTGGTCTTGCTTTCTCGTCACTTCTGTAACTTTTCAGTGTGTTCTCAACTGCTGTTTTGTAATTTACTGCCTGCACCAAGTCAATTGTTTCTTTCTGCAGGTATTTGTGCAGGCCCTGAGTGGTTGAGAGCAGTGTCTGGAACAGGACAAGCATGTAGATGGTACTGCATTTGCAAAACTTGCTTTCCAGCCCCTTTGCCAGAGGGGCTGAAAGGCTCCCTAAAGTCTTGATCAAAGCAGGGAGGTTTTTGACATGCCCAGCGAACAAGTTATTTGTCCCCTACCTCTAGCTGTTTCTGAAATGTTTGCAATCTCTAATGGTGGAGAAGAAAGAGTAGAGACACTCCAGGAGATCAACGCAGGTATGTGAGTTTTGTACACCAGTTTTTTTAAGTTTAATGTTTCACATTGCTTATGAAAAATATACTACCACTATACGATCACTGATGTTTTGTTGTTGACTGGACACTTATTTTTTTAAAGAGATGGCATGTGAGGATCTCTTAAGCAATGAAGCTCACGTGTCCTTTTTATATGCTGTCCATTGAAATGCAGGAAAGTAATCACCAACTGTGAGTGATCTGTTGCCGAGGGGACACTACACCGGAGTTACATAAGCAGAGGTAAAGTACTATTTTTGGGGGGAACTCCCCCAGGAAGATTTTTTTTAAATATTGAAGTTAAAAGCATCAATCTGGTGCACTTTGAGAGCAACATTAAGAGATCTATACATCTCTCAACACCCATATGTCAAAAAAAATCAAAGAATCAGAATCAGAAACAGGTTTATTATTTAAAAACACTTGATTTTCCAATTAAATCATAAACTATGTCAAATTATTAGAAGTTGTTAGTAATGAGATTAAACTGAAAAAAGGGATGGAAGGAGGAAATAATAATCCCTCATCACTTGCTTCCTTCCTCACTTGCTGCTTCCTTCATCACATTACCTTTCATTTGCTTTGTTTTTTCTCCCCATCATCACTCGCTGTCTTCACACTCTTTATTGTTTTGTAGGTGGAAGTGTTAGGCTAAATCGCCTTGGTTTGACCTTCGCAAATCGGTCGACGACCTCCCCATGGAGGGTGACATGCCTGTATGCCAATTAATATTTTTTCCCCAACTCCAGAAAACCTGTTTTGAAGCTCCTCCAGCATTCTGTCGAGAACTGGAAAGAAGAGCCTTGTGTATGTTTGAATTTTCATGTTCTCGAAAAGAATCCAATGCACGCTTCCAGTTTGTGTATCCTGAGGTGGTGAGGGTGTCCCTTTGATCCCTTGATTGCTTTGGTTTGCCATATAGTCTACAACTAAAGCAGAATGCTGCATTGGCAGTGGTAGAATATTCAACCCATTTAAAAGTATCAAACCAACTTGGTTGAAATTATCTCTTTTGCTGGCCAAACATGCCGGATGGAAAACAGTGATGTCTCACTTGCCTTGGCCCTGTATCTGCAGTCCCTAAATCAGTTCCCCAGTTACCCATTGACTCTTGTCTGTTCTAATGTTCCTGTTCATTGTTGTTCTTATCTGTTGTATCTCCTTCTTGTGTGTCCCTTTCTCCTGTTCTCCTTTCTTCATCCTCTACTATTTTTGGCTCATCTGTGATGACTGTGTAGGTAAACACAAACAAGTATTTAAAATCAGTTTCCAGCTCTGTCAAATAAATGAATTTCAAGATACACAAATTTGTCTTCATTAAAATGAGTGTCACCACACTGTCACAAAATATAATACTAACCAATTGAAAATAGTTAAATTGACATTGGAAACCTCTTGTACAGTAGATATCACTGTTAGTAGTTATCTGCCAATAGGAGAGAATCATTCCTATACAAATGCAGTTTGAGTAATTCACTTAATATATTTACTTAACACTTAAATATAGTCATTTTCACGTAATACTCGAATAGTCATCTTTCTGCATTCAAAACTAAGGAAAGCTGTACAATTTGACATGATAATGAGGAAAAAAGGCCTCCGACAATGCAGATTTTTTGATCATATCAATTTTAAGATGGGGGTCGAGGCTTAATATTTGGGAGCATAGTGTCCCTTGTCCCCTTTCAGGAGCCCTACTGGATTAGCTTTGATCTGAAATCTTTGTATATAAAAAGCTTGTTAGCTGGCTGTCCATCTCATAATGTTCACATAGAAACTAGCTATCAATAGGAAATATCAATCAGAATTATAATTTCATGCAAAAATCTGTCACAAAAAGAGGTTGCACATTTAAATTCAGGTGTTATGGCAACGTCAGTGGCCAAACAGCCACATTTACTGCTGCAAATACGTTCAAACGTGCTGTCGACAGTAAAGCAGTGACAACTAGGCCACCATTTAAACTGACTTTTCTCAGAAATACTGTCACATAACATCCATATATTTCAGTGCTAGTTTGATGCTTAGCTAAGCTAACTATGAAACACTTTAACTGACAGGACTCAGGATCAACTGTGTACTGTAAGGTAGCTTCTAGCTTCCTGTCGAACAGTAAGTCAACATTTCCCAGAGAGCTTTCTTTGAAATCACCAGGTAACGCTAAAAAACACAACATTTATATTGTATGACAAAGTGTTTATTTAAGATATCTGGCTCGCTATAGCTACTTGCTAACGGTTTAGATTACCCGTGCGATTCAAAGTAACGTCAACGTAGCTGTAATTTATGCTTTGCTTACATGTTCGCATAACTTGTAAGTTTACTGACATGTACATACCTTGTTCACCTGGCTCAGGTGGTGGCTCTGGGGTTGTTGTGTGAGCCACCACTTGAGTATTGCCGTCTTTTTTATTGAAAACATGTCTAATGTCCATCTTCAGAATCTCCGCGTCCGGGGCTGACAGTTTAAAGTTTAAACATTGTCACAGAGGAGAGGTACGTACCTGTCAGCCAATAAAACACGTTTATTTCCATGCAACTCTCTGATTGGTCTGGTGGTGTCTTGGCTTGCCTATGTTGCATTCACTGAACACGGGAAATTACAAATCTGCCGTCCTATAGGTAAAGAAGTACGGTTAATGTATTATATTGAGGGAGAATTTGTCCGGGGCTAAAGAAAAAACATCCGGGGCTAAAGCCCCGGATGCCTACCCCAGGCGACGCCACTGGGGATCAGTAAGCATAATAAGGAGGTTGACAAAAACAGGCACTAAAATAATAGACTGTATCAAGTGCTGTGTGCCTTTGGGCTAGCCTTGCGTTGTAATATGACATATGTTTTGAGTTTGTGTATAAGTTTGCTTACATTTTGTTAGAGCCCCCCCTGTAGAAAAAATGCACCAGCCGCCACTGCTACATTGACTATAAAGTCAAAATCTCTGCAGCGAGAGACGTGTATGTGCTGCATAACATTGCTGTTGAATTCAAACTTTGTATCTCAAAATAAGAACTCTTCAGAAGCAAAGGAGCCGCCTTTTATGAACAACAGCAGACATTACAATTTCACCCAAACACACATTGCGAGTAATTTGGGATTCAGTGTCTTTCTTGAGTTCAGTTTGACTCACCCTGATCGTACCAAACAAGGACAGCAAAATTAAATAAATCTGTATTTGATCAAATAAAAAAACTTTCATGGCAATGCAAACATTACACAAATATATATTTTGTATTACATCCACCCATGGCAACTATTATATGGATACATTTAGGGCAAGATTTTGATTTAGGCTAAATACACAACCAATGTAATACTGTAGGAAAACTCTGGTTCCTCAACCTATATCCTAACCAAGCAGTATACAAAAACATAAAAAATCATGGAGTTGCAAGGTCTACAAGGATAATCTAGTGTAGAATATAATATGTCCCAGCTTTGGTGTGCATTGAAACATGAGCCCAACCCATAATTATTTGATAAATAACGTTTTTTTCAGGGGTCTGAGGGAGGGCTCTTAAGTGCTCTACCCTGGTAATTTAGGATAAGGGTGGTAGGATGTGAAATGTATTTCAGGGGGGCTGAGGGGGCTTTGCATGACCAGCACATACAGATGTAGCAGCTCATTTAGGACAGTTTGAAACGCGAGGGCCGTGGTCGGCCCGTGATCAAGAGACAGCCTCCAGTCTGACTTGAGACCGCCCCGTGATAAATCAATTTAATTATTGTGAAGCCAGCTGCAATGGATCATTGATCCACCAGGGGGTGCAGTGGGGTTCCACACTGGAGCTCATGTGAAATCAACTTTGATACAGTACGCTGGATGTACAGTATGTCTGGTACTACTGTATAGCGGATCTTTGTTAAGATCCATATGTCACGGATAGGATCATAGTCTGTGCTAAATAAGAGACATGTAATCATTTACAAAACATCACCATGTTGTTATTTAACAAAATAATGTTGTTTAGTCGAAAAAAACGAACGAGAGGAAATGCAGCCAGCTCTCGATTTTTAATCCTAATTTAATCATCTTCACCACGATCATTTATGTTTATGTTCGCCGAATTGACATGAAATCACTGACAAATATGAATATACTGTATTCAACTTAATTAAAACGTTATTAACGTGCCTAAACTCAGTAATTCACTAAAAATATTTATATTTTAATGGAGACTTGTCAGGCAGATCAGGATCCCGACGCGTAGTCCCCATAATGACCAAGTCGCTGCAAATTATCCCGCTTATTACATGGCCACATTGTCAACAAAGTAACGACATGACTCCCAATATTAATTGAAATGCTTTTATGGATTTAGAAAATGTTTTTATTGATTTAAAAAATAGTTGTATGTATTGATTTAAATTGACATGCATCCGCTAAGAGAAATAGTCACTAGACACTTGACACAGTGGCTTTTGGCAAAGCAGAAAAAGAACACTCAAACCGAGAGATGAGTTATTGTTATTACAACATGGTATTGCACATTTAGCTTTCAGTATTACTGACCTGAGATGTTTTTATTACATGAATTAAGGTGACTAGGCTTTTTAACATAGACTTTTCAGTGTCCCACATTTTGCACAGAACTGTCCCACATTAGGAAATGCAGATTGTCTGAGACAACTTGGCACTAATGGCGCATTTCCACCACACGGTCGGCCTCGGCCACACTCGGTACTGCTTGGCCGCGTTGGGCCTTAACAGGGCCGGCTCACTTCATGCTGCGCTTCCATTATAGTTTAGGAACTGGGGTAGTTACTATAGTAACGCAGTGTAGGCGGAGCCGTGACGTCATCTTCAATGAGAACCCCAGAAAAACAACACAGCCGTTAGCTGTTAGCACTCAGAGCTCACAGCTCCTTATATATGTTCAGAAACTCGACAAAAGTTAAACAAGTACACACCACAGACTGCCTGTGTCATGGCGAATACAGTCGCTGCTTTATTTATGTCTGTATAGGCCGTTGTTGTGAGTGTGGACGGTCGGAGCATATATTGAGTTAGCTTAGCCAATCTCCATCTAGAAAACACGCATTTTAAAAGGTTGTTCACCTGCCGTCTGTCTGCAAACTTGCCAAAGCATTAATTCATGGTTTTTACTAACCGGTATCAGTATGTTGTTACTTCGGCATCATTTTGAAACGTGTATTACAATTAAATCACGGTCAAATATGTTCATCTTGTTGTAGTTGTAGCCTCCTTGCCAGCGATTCTCTCTCTAGTTTAGCATACTCAGCCCGACTCAGCCCTGTTTGTTGGCCCCGATAGAACCACAATTTTGTCGGGCCAGAAAAGAGGTGAAAAAGTGGCCCCGGGCCGGGCCGGGCCGTAACTAGGCCTAGTGGAAGCGCAACCAAAAACGGGCACGGCACGACACGGCACGCTTAAACCGCGCTCCGCGCCATGGTGGAAATGCGCCATAAGAGTACTGATATGTCTACCATTTCTTTTATGAGTGTAATATCTGCATTTTCTCTTTTGGTTTGATTAGGACACATCCTGGGGATTGTGTTTACAAACATTGACCATACCGTTCACCATCCCCCACCCCCCTACTGTATGTTGATTTTTGACTTTGTTTAGAGCAGTGAATTATCTTTCAACTTGGCACTAAGAGTACTGATATGTCTACCATTTCTTTTCTGAGTGTAATATCTGCATTTTCTCTTTTGAAAAAATAAGTCTTAGTTTGGCCACTCATTTTTAATCACACGTCTCCCCATCCCATTCAAATTCAAATTCTTGACTGAAAGAGCAGTGTTGCCTACATGTAAATGGGTGGCATTGCCTATATGCATTTGAAAAGAAATAGTACCCCCCTCTGAGTGACTACCTGTTGACTTCACATCTTGTCACAAACCAGGGACTTTACTTCCTGATTTTTGGAAGACAAGACTGACCCAAGATACCTGTACATAATGGAAAGTGAAATTGACATTGTCAAATTTAATAAAAATACAAAATAATGTTCACATTTGGGAACCGATTGGAAACATAGGACTCAATCTTTTGCTTCACATTGAGGGGAAGAGGCATTTTCCCATTGGTCCCAGTCCAGTTGGTCCTTTTCACCATTCTCCCATATGTTACAAATGGCGTTATGGCCATGAAAATATTAGCAGCATAGATCTCAGGGCGATGCTGTCCCTTAAAAAAGCTGTCCTGATAAAAATGTTCCTCTCGCTCTGAGGAAACTGCCCTGGTGGGTTCATCAGGTGTGGCCGCCGACCCTGGAGTGACCGCCGACCCTGGAGTGACCACTGGAATGACCGGTGGCAATGGTGTTTTTATTTATTTATTCATTTATTTAACAGGGACAGTGCACATTAATGAACATTTCTGTAAATGTGCCAGAGTTAGCCAAGAGGCTATTTTTCATCTGTAGTCCCTGGACAGATTTGAAAAGTCTAAAACACATTTCATTTTAAACAAGTAAATACAATACATTTAAAACATGCAACATACATTACTGGGATACTTAAATAAAACAATTTAAAATACAGAACATTAAAGCTTTCCCAGCTTAGCAAGTTGTATTTTTTGAGTGTTGGGCAGTGATGCGAATAAACAGATTTTTTGTCCAGTATTTTGAGTGTTTGTTTGTACAATGACTCCAGTGGTTTTAATGTTGTTGTACTGGCATGTGACCAGGTCGTTAAACAGTAGGTGATGTGTGAGAGAACCATAGAGTGTGTGTACATCAGAGATGCCTCAATTCACATGTAATCTCTGGTGAACCTAAAATTCGACAGACTGACTGTTGGTGTTGAGATGTTTTTATTACATGAATTAAGGTGACTGAGGCTTTTTAACAGACTTTTCAGTGTCCCACATTTTGCACAGAACTGTCATAACATTTGCAGCTGCAGCTTCAATGCTCTGCCGTGGTCTACATGTATGTGTTCAGGCACAAAAGAAAAAAAACTCTTGTAAGCTGTCTGTTTTTAATAAAGCTTCAAATCAGCTACATTAAATAAGACAAATTACGCATATCCATCCACCACTGGCACATCCCT